GGGCCGAAACATGTAGTGTTGAAGTGTGGAATGTAAAAAGTGTTGCAATTTTGACGGAAGATTAAGAATGGACGCGAACCTTGAATATTCTTGGAATATTCTTGCAGGTAAAGGGCCGCCGACGCGTAAGGTTGACAACCTCACAGCCATCTGTGAGCCGATTGTCTAGATAGTGTGGGAGCCTCGACGTCTCACAAGTCCTGTTACAGGGATAGCTTTAGTTTTATTTATACCCCATTCCGTCAATAATGCAACAAATTGTTCTTTTTCTTCAACTTACACTTTTAACACAACATGTTTCGGCCTTAGATGGCCATCTTCAGGTGTCTTAATATATTATTAATATGCGCTAAATCACACGATGTAGTCCACTTAATAAAATAAAATAAAATAAAATCTATTAAAATTCTCAATGCTTTTGCGAAATTTTATTCCACCTCACAATGGGCATCGTCAACTTGTTTAGAGCTATGTGATAGTCTAGAAAGTTTATTTGGGCAGCTTGTTTTTGTGTTCGTTAGCCCGTTGTTTTGTTACGTCTGCAATCTGCAATATGCCCCTTGCTTGTGTGTTGTTCCCTCTAGCAGCGTGTGGTGTTGCCTTCACTAGTGTTAATATATGAAGACACCTGAAGATGGTCTACTAGGGCCGAAACATGTTGTGTTAAGGCAGAAAAAGTAATTTGTTGCATTATTGACGTACTGTGGTATACATGGACGTTTTAATTAGAATTTTGTGTTAAGTAAATAAATATAATACAAGTAAATCTCTTTAAAATCATGAATTATTAACTGTAGAGAACAGAGTGCTTCTTGAAAAGCTGATATTCGCTCAGCTGGTCGAAAACTTTCCCGTGTATTAAGCCCAAAATTTCGTTAATCACTTCACAAGAACCCGCCTCCGGAAATAATCCTGAGATAACTGGTTATGGTCACACTTCACTTATTTGATATCCATTTCTATACTATTCTCCCATCTACTTTTGTTACTCCCGAGTGATCTCTTTCCTTTCGTGAATTTTTTTCGATGAGAATTTTGTACATATTTCAGATCTCCCCCATTCATTCTACATGTCTGATTCATCTCCTGCTTGACTTAATTAGTCATAATATTAACTGAAATATCCAAGTCATGAAACTCCTGTCTGTGTTGCTTTTGTCATTCCCTGTTCACTCCCTTTTGGTAACGTCCCTTTCTTCCGTTGATTCTGCTGTATAAATAAAGCAACTTACCAGACACACAGCTAAAGTGCCGAGGAGTATCTTTTGTAGAAGTTCCATTTTTACAGCAAAATTTGTTACTCTTCGCCTAACCTCGCGGTTGTAGTTTGCTGTCTATATATACGCGACATATGTGACCGTGAATTTGTTTTGTGTTGTTCATAGAACATCTGCTATCGAATACGTCACGTGACTGTATCTCTAAGAACATTACATCAGGATGTAGCGCACTGTAGCCTACAACCCAAAGTATTCGCTTCTACTAAACAAGTTTACTACCGCCAAATTAACCCTGAAAGTGCCAACCGTCGACAGTTGTGACCTTTACAAATTGATATATGTGACAACGTGTGACATCTGTTGGCAATTTATCTGAACTACATACTTTGGAGAGAAAATTTTCCATACGTCTGCAGTCATTAGGTGGGTTCTGTGAATATGATTTAGCTATGAATTTTGTAGTGGATCGACTTTACGTTTCAGGAATATTAAATAAATATTATTGTTAAAATTATATCCGTGAACTGTCAAATCAACCGAATATGTGACTGACTCCATCAAACAGAATCCTAGCAGTTTATTGAACCGCAATGTTCTTCACACAATTTCTGTATGCTGTAAAATCGTAATGATGCTGCTTGAGCATACGGTAACAGTGTGCCGACAGAGCGAAGCTCGCGCTTGTTGCAGTCAGTGAAATTTATATCGGTAGGTGGATAGTGTTTCTGTCTTCAACTGTACTCATTTTCATTAAAATTATCCTTTTGGAAATGACGGTTATTTAAAGAATTTTGGTGGGGCGGGCAATGTATTTCCTCTCGTATAATTATCAAGTCGCGTTGCTGCGTCTGTTGCTGTACAATTCGTCTGGTTGCGTCATATGTATTTTGCGTTTTTCCTCATCCACAGGGCTGTAAAGGCTTTTGAACAAAAGGCGGAGCCATGTTATTCCAGATGATATGACACCTGACACGATTGGTAAGGAAAGTTATGTAAGCATATTATTTACTGTGCTTGAGAACAGGTCGCTGAGGAGAATATTTGGACATAAGAGGGAAGAAATACCGGAAAGCTGACGAAAATACAAAAAAAAAAACCTCGCTAATCCGGACTAATTGATGGGGTCGGTCAACAGGATTAATTAACAAAAAGGCAGTCATAAAAGACAAAACATAGAACACAAATAACCGGAAAATTTAATGATAAAAATAGCGCTGATAGAAATAAACAATACATTTTTTTGTGAAGTCTATATTTAAAAACTATAAAAAGACGATATATTTATTCATCGATAGAAGACTCAGAAGTTGTACCTGTTTCTGAAGAAACCAACCTCGTTCTTGGTCTACTAAATAAGTTACATACATGCAAAAGCGTTAACGCTCGAAAATTCGTTGCTATGGCAACTTGAAAGTGCGTGATGACAATGCTAAACCTTGCGCTTACATAACTTTTATATAAAGTAAGTGCAGATGAAATTCTTCGCTCATTGGTACAGGGATCCTCTCCCACTCCTCTCAGTAGGCGAACATCACGAAAACTAGCCCATACCTGAGCAGGTATTACTCTCTGGGCTTATGTCGACTGGCACTTTTTCTCACTTAATGAGTAATGTCCCCCCTCCCCTTCGCCGATCGCAGTGGCCGAGCGTTGTAAAACAAGAAAAGTATTCGTTTGCTCTAACTCTGGTATCGTGGGTTTGAATCCCACTCAAGGCATGAATATCTGTATGTGCGTCTATTGTGTGACTGTGCTAGGTAACGGCCTTGCGTCGGACTGATCTCCCGTCCAACGTTTAGTGGAGATTTTAACAACCTGAGAACAATAGTGTGTGAGTGTAACATTGAACTGTGAACTGTAGTTAAGAGTTGTGTGTTAAAGTGCTCACGCTGGTTCCTCGCTCGCGGATTTTTCTACCCTGAAGATGGAGGCGATACGTTCCTCCGAAACGTGGATTAACACAATATCTACACGGCGCCACATCCCAGAAGACGGCTTCCTTAATAGTCACCGCCGTGAAAACCTCAAATTTTACACAGAACTTCCACGTTTTCTTCCATTCCTTTTGTCTGGGTGTTTCTAGAACACGACACGCGGTTTCGTAATGCATAAAGCGATATACGTATGTCCGTAGTTGCTTTCGTCGCTAGGCAAAAATATGCGCTTTAATTTGCGTTTATGTGTCTTGCTTTCGCACGACTCAAAGGCGGCAAGGAACAGAAGATTAAATTCATCTTATAATATTCAGAACCTGACTTTATTTCTAACTAATGACAAGTCAGTGTTTAGAATTTGAGGAGAGGGCCGTACCATAGCTCAGGCGTTTAGTCGCCGGCTTCCCACAGCGGCGACCCGGATTCGATCCCAGGTCAATTCATGTGAGACTTATGGTAAACAAATTAGCGCTGTGGCAGGTTTTCTACGAGTACTTCGGTTTCCCCTACCAATTCTCACTCCACCGACTACTCCACACTCATCATCTATCATTCGGGGCTGGTACAATGGGCCAAATAGTGGCCGACGTACCAAGTGGACTCAGTCTCACCTTACCCCAAGAAACCAAAAGAAAAATGGGATTTGAAGTTATCACGGAAGTGGTTATGAAGGGTTTATCATCTGGGATACAACGATATGTAATCCGTTGAAAGTCAACCGACGTTTCGGAAGAACATATCGCCTCCATCTTCAGGGTCAAATAATAAATCGAGTAACACAAGAGTGAAAGCAAGTGGCAAGCTGAGTTCTGCGTGCCACCTGCTTTTATGCTGATTTCTTGTTCGGTTTATTCTTCGAACCTGAAGCAACATGTTCCTCCGAAACGTCGGTTGCCTTTCAACAGATTACACAGCGTTATAACCCCAGAATATATAACTCTTCAAGGCAGTGTGTGTGTGTGTGTGTGTGTGTGTGTAAGTAACGGGTGGTAAGTTTATTATTTTGAGGGACAGGAGCATGGCAGCGTTCGTACTGTTCAGTTTCAACAAAATCCTATTGAGCAGCCGCCAGTCTTCACGTTGTAGTGGAAGAGGAAACCGAGACCGCAGACCTGAGGCACGAGCTTGAGGTTCACGTCACAGCGGAAGTACCTGTGGCAGTCAGAGGGATCCGGAAACGTGTCGGAACTGCTTGTGCAGTACAGTGTCTTCTTTGTGAGAGTTGTTCCCTTCAGACAAGTCCCTGGCAAACAGTACCTATAGGACGAATTGTAGTAAGCCCCTGACGGGCAGACCTGTCTTACTGCCTGCGCAGATCCATAACACACGAGGTAGGCAGTGCAGTTGGTAGGATCCGGGAACAATCCTACATCACTGCACTGAAAGGTTCCGTTGTGCATGTCCACGGGAGCTGTTGCAGCTGCTACAGGAGGCAGTGTCTGGTTCTGCGTGGAACTACTGCAGTCACCAACCTCACAGTCCGTGTAGTGGGGGTCGAAATGCATGCTGAGGGGACATGTTCCTCTTGAGGCCTGCAGCTTGCTGTTGCAGCTATAGTATCCGCTGCAGTCTGCAGGATCCGGAAACAAGCCTTGAGAGGGGCACACAAACGCCTTGACGACGGAGCAGCCCAGCAAGGCACTGAAAATCTAATTTGAACAGTCCTTCATTAATATTGGGCCTGGGTTGTTTCTTGCGGGTACATGAGAGACACAATTGCAGAGACTAGCCCCGCAGAGCAGAATAATTTTTCATAGGATAACAGTGACTGACGTTGTCAGGAAATTATCAGGATTCTATGGATCCTGAAGGCTCACAACCACCCAACACTGGTCCCAGTCCTGAGCCAGAAGAAGTTAACCGAAATTCTTCCAGCCTCTTTCCTGAACATCCATTTTTGTGTTATTCTGTCATTTACTCCTAGGTTTTCCAAGTTATCTCTTTCATTCAGGTTTTTCCACCGAAACGTATATATTTCTTTATCATCACATACTTGCTACATGTCTCACCAATCTCATTGTTCTTCATCCTAATAATTTCTGGCGGGGAATTAAAATTGTGAAGCTCCTCATTACGTTTTTACTCAGAATCTGATTCCATTGGCATGATTGCTGTGTATGTAGAAAGCATGGTTCATGTGAAAATTGCATGTAATTTTTGTCGGGAAACTTTAGAGAAGAAGCAAAATTGGAAAATTAATTGTAGATGTTAAGATAATATTAAAATGTGTCCGTGTGCTTAACTAATTAAGTTAAGTCGTTGTATAGATCCGTATTTTCTTGACCTCGGCACTAGTCAGAGGTGAGTGGCCAGGTTCACGCCCCTGCCGCTTTACCCCCAGGGAAAGACCCCCAATAGCCATTAGATAGGAGGTTGAGTGAACCCCAGAGACGGTCTAGAAGCTATAGAAAAGAGAAAATTCTTGACCTTACCGGTACTCGAACTCCGATCTCTCAGTCGTCCAACCCATAGCCAGTCGCTATACCGGTCACGCAATCCAGGGTCCTCAATATTAAAATTTGTAAGGGGAAAATAGATTCGTGTTTATGTAATCAATTCATGTGCCTCGAGGTACTTTGTAATGGTAAGCACAGCAGCATTTCGCACGTTGCCAGCCAAACACAGCTTGGTCCCTACGGGTTCATACTCAGGCACAGGTGGTTCCCAGAGCGCTACAATGCAATGTGTCACTTCACTGGCTATACAACATGAAATGTAAGAAGTAAAAATTTTTTAACTTTATACTTTTTAAAAACACAAGCTGGCTTCCAAGTAGAATAATATAATTTATATATTGTCACGTATTGGGTGTATAACGCGACAAATAACTTCACGCCGTATTTGGTATAGCGAATTTTATTTCACATTCGCACTTACAATCACCCAAATTACAGATTCACAATTACTGCTATCTGCAGTATCACAAATACTACACTCCAAATGCCAGAATGCAACTGACTGGTTGCTGGCTAACTCGGAACTAACTCGGAGGTAGCTCGAGGACTAACTGTGAATAGCCTTCGCTGCTCCTCATGTAGCCTCGATCGGACAATACAGAAAACGGCCACGTAATAAGCACCCTTGTTGCCTGGCGCTGTGTTGCTAGCAACGCTAGCGGTAGTAACCGCTGTTACTACCGTCGTCTCTCGCAATCCTGGTTACCCGCGCTGCCTAGCAACCCGCGGTACCCTTGGTGACGTCATCGCTGTTGACTCGCGTTGCATAGCGACCAGG